TTGCCACCTCTTCTTAATATCTTCTGCTTCTGTTAGGTCCATACAATTTCTGTCTTTTATTGAGCCCATCTTTGCATGAAATGTTCCCTTAGTATCTCTAATTTTCTTGAAGAGATCTCTAGTCTTTCCCATTCTATTGTTTTCCTCTATTTCTTTGCATTGCTCACTGAGGAAGGCTTTCTTATCTCTCCTTGCTATTCTTTGGAACTCTGCATTCAAATGGGTACATCTTTCCTTTTCTCCTTTCCCTTTGGCTTCTTTTCTATTCACAGCTATTTGTAAGGCCTCCTCAGACAATCATTTTGCCTTTTTGCATTTCTTTTCCTTGGGGATGGTCTTGATCCCTGCCTCTGTACAATGTTACGAACCTCTATTCATAGTTTTTCAGGCACCCTGTCTAGCAGTTCTAATCCCTTGAATCTAGTTGTTACTTCTACTGTATAGTCATAAGGGACTTGATTTAGGTAATACCTGAATCGTCAAGTGGTTTCCCCCTACTTTCTTCAATTTAACTCTGAATTTGTCTATAAGGAGTTCATGGTCTGTGCCACAGTCAGCTCCTCGTCTTGTTTTTGCTGGTTGTATAGAACTTCTGCATCTTTGGCTGCAGAGAATATAATCAGTCTGATTTCATTATTGACCAGCTGGTGATGTCCATGTGTAGAGTCTTCTCTTGTGCTGTTGGAAGACGGTATTTTCTATGACCAGTGTGTTCTCTTGACAGAACTCTGTTAGACTTTGCCCTGCTTAATTTTGTACTCCAAGGCCAAATTTGCCTGTTACTCCAGGTATTTCTTGACTCCCTTTACTAGACTCCCTTTACTAGAATACTTTTGTATTCTAGTCCCCGATAATGAAAAGGACATCTTTTTGGGTGTTAGCTCTAGAAGATCTTGTAGGTCTTCATAGGACTGTTCAGTTTCAGCTTCTTCAGCATTATTGGTCAGGGCATAAACTTGGATTAATGTGATATTGAATAGTTTGCCTTGGAAACAAACAGAGATCATTCTGTAATATGCAGAGTACATCATATGAAATGCTGGGCTGGATGAAGCACAAGGTGGAATCAAGATTGCTGGGAGAAATATCAATAACCTCAGATATACAGATGACACCACCCTTACGGCAGAAAGCTACGAGGAACTAAAGAGCCTCTTGATGAAAATGAAAGAGGAGAGTGAAAAAATTGGCTTAAAACTCAGTCTTCAAAAATGAAGGTCATGGCATCTGGTCCCATCAGTCAAAGCTGTGGTTTTTCTGTAGTCATGGCAAATAGATGGGGAAACAATTTAAACAGTGCCAGATTTTATTTTATCAGGTTCCAAAATCACTGCAGATGGTGGCTGCAGTCATGAAATTAAATGATGCTTGCTCCTTGGAAAGAAAGCTATGGCAAACCTAGACAGCATTTTAAAAAGCAGAGACCTTACTTTACTGACAAAGGTCCATCTAGTCAAAGCTATGGTTTTTCCGTAGTCATGTATGGATGTGAGAGTTGAACCAAAAGAAACCTGAACACTGAAGAATTGATGCTTTTGAACTATGGTGTTGGAGAAGACTCTTGAGAGTCCCTCTGATTGCAAGGAGACCAAACCAGTCCATCCTAAAGGAAATCAGTCCTGAATATTCATTGGAAGGACTGATGCTGGAGTTGAAGCTCCAGTACTTTGGCCACCTGATGTAAAGAACTGACTCTTTAGAAAAGACCCTGTTGCTGCAAAAGATTGAAGGCAGGAGGAGAAGGGGTGACAACAGAAGATGAGATGGTTGGATGGCATCAGCAACTCAATGGACATGAGTTTGAGCAAGCTCCAGGAGTAGGTGATGGGCAGGGAAGCCTGGTGTGCTATAGTCCATGGGGTTTCAAAGAGTCGGACATGACTAAATATCTGAACTGAACAATAACCACAGGGGACCTAGAGAGACTATACAAATGTCAAACAAAATAGACTTTAAGGCAAAGAAAAAGAAATGGATCTAGTGACAACAAAGGACATTTTATAAAAATAAAATCATCCATTCATCAGGAAGCTCCACAGTTATAATCATATGTGTACCTAACAACCGAGTCTTAAAATACAAGAAGCAGATAACTGACAGAATTAAAGATAAATAACAATAATAGTTGCAAAATTCAATATCCCACTCTCAATGGATAGATCTAAATAGAAAATCAGTGAATACATACATACATATATATATATATATATATGACTAGAACAATATAAACAAACTGTAAAACACTCTACCTGACAACAATGTAGTGTATACTCTTTTCAACAACACATGGAATGCTTTACAGAATAGGTCATATGCTAGGCTATAAAACAAGTCCCAGTACATTTAAAAGGATTAAAATAATACAAAGTATGTTCCAAATTGCAGTATGCTAGATAGATGGATAGATAAAATATTTGGTTCTGTTTTCAGAGTTGAACCCTGACTGATAAAGCTTCTTATCGCAACACTAAAACCATGATCCATATAAGGAAAAAAAAAAGATAAACTGATGGAACTTCATCAAAATTAAACACTTTTGGGTTTCAAAGCACCATTAAGAAAATGAAAAGACAAGCCACAGACTGGGAGAAAATATTTGCAAATTATTTTTCTGAAAAAGGACTTGTATCCAGAATATCTAAGGAGCTCTTAAAACTCAGTAATGAAAATGGGTAAGTATTTGAATAGATATTTCATCAGAGAAGATATAGGAATGAAAGCATGTGAAAAAGTACTCAACATCATTAGTCAGGGAAATGCAAATTAAAGCCACAGTGAGAAAACACTTCACACCTATTAGGAAAGCTATAATAAAAAAGACAGAAACTAACACAACATTGTAAAGCAATTATACTAAAAAAAAAAAAAAGACAATAACTAGTGTTGTTGAAAATGTGAAGTACGTGGAACCCTAATACATTGCTGATGAAAACTGAAATGGTGTTGTCACTTGGGAAGTCAGCTAATAATTTCTTTAAAAGTCAAATGTAAGTTTACCAGCAATAGATAAATAAATGACATAGAAATTCTCCTCCTAGGTATCTCCAAAAAGAAATAAAAATTTATGTTCATACAAAAACATACATGTGCATTCATAGTGGCATTATTCAAAAAAAAAGAAAAAGTGGGAGCAACGTGTGCATTCATAGTGGCATTATTCAAAAAAACGAAAAAGTGGGAGCAATGCAAATGAATTGGTAAATGGATAAACAAGGTTTGGTATATGCAAACAACGGTGTACAATTGGCACTAGAAAGGAAGAAACTATAATACATTCTGTAACACAGCTGAACCTCAAAAACATTATGCTAAATGAAAGAAACCAGACATAAAAGACTATGTGAAATATGATTCCATTTTATGAAATATCCAAGAAACGCAAATTTATTGAGAGAAAAAATAGATTATTGATTGTCTGGGGCTAAAGGTAAGAATGAGAATTGACTGCAAATGGGCCTGAGGGATCTTTTGTGAATTATAAAATGTTCTAAAGTTAGACTGTGGTGATAGTTGCACAACTCTAAATGTATTAAAAGCCATTGAATTATACAACTATTGTGGGTAAACTTCATGGTATGTAAATTATACCTCAATAAAGCTGGTTTTTAGAAAAAGTAAAATCTATATCCAATGTCTTAGAGCACTGTTACCTGTTTTTTTCTTTTGTTTCTTCTTTTCTTCAAGCAAATATGTACTAATTCTGCTTAGTATCTTGATATTGTTCTCAATAGCTTTGAATGTTTCTGGTAACATCTCCATTTGTGCTAAACAGTGATGGTGTTCTTCAATATCAATTGCAGTAATCTCAGACAAATTGACATCTTGAAGAGAGTAAAATAAGTTACTTTTGTGCAGAAAAATAATTATAACCATATAAGCTTACAATATTGCCTACCTAGTCAATATTGTAGTATTGGGAAATACAGATATCTTATACTTATTTCTATTCTGAGGCTTTTCTCTGTGAAGAAATGAAAAAAGAAAAGACTTGGAATAGAAGACCGAATAGTAAATCTTGGCATGAAAATATGCTTAAAATACAGTTAAAATGTGTCTAATTGGTTTAATTCCCTGATATCAGGGATAAAGAGCTAAAATGTGAATATATGCCTTAATACTGGGGATTAAAACCCCAATTAACTCCCTTGGTAAGTTTTCTAGTATTTCATAACCCCTGTTATATGAGATTTCTTGTAACTAAACAAAATTTCTCTTTTTTGTATTCTTAGTTTATTCATTCTTTCACTCAACTAGAGTCTCCTCTGTCATATATTGTTCTAGATGCTGAAGACACAGCATTGAATAAAACAAATTCCCTGACTTTATTACTATTTATATTCTAGGGAAAGGAAAGAAACAAAACTTTTAAAAAATATTAATTATTAATTATAAAGTATGCCAGATGATAAGAAAAGCTATAGACAAAAATAAAGAATTATAAAGAATAACAGTCAATGCCAGGGTGTAGAGAATGGGGATGGTCAGAGAACACCTCATTTTAAAGTGAGGTGTAAGCAGAGAATGAACCATGTGGCTACCTGGTAGAAAATGTTCCAGGCAAGGGACTAGGAAGCATTGAGACAGTGGGCAGGAGCATGCTAAGTGAGCAAACTTGTTTTCCTTATTTTATTCTTCCTGAAACAGAGAGCAACTGTTTAACCATCTTAGCCTTTCCTTCTTTAATCTTCTAATCCTTCAACTTTTACTTATAATTCTGTTCTGTAGGTTTTTCATTAACTTTAAATCACTTCTGGAAACTTACTCCATTCTTCCAACCAGGCCAGAATGTAGGCAAGAGTCTTGTTTTTAATTTCAGCAGTCTTAGCACAAGCAGTTATTTTCTCCAGCAAACTTCCTTTCTGTTTCTTATGTTCTATAAAGGATGTTTTCCTTTCAGCATGCATATTCTCCTCCATAGTATAGCAATTTATTATACGCTTCACATTTTGCATTATGTCTGTCAGCTGCATATTAAGATGCTATAAGAATAAGAAGGGGGATTATAATAATAAATCCTGTTTGACAATAAGATTTGATCAGCTTTCCTCCTAGAATGTCAGTGATAGTACTATAAAGCTCTCTAATCAAAGGCTTTTTAATTCTAATTTTTCTATAAGTCTAAGATTTTCCTCTTAATTTTTTTTTCTCTGACTTCATCCTAGAATTTCTATGATATAATGAAAAGAATATTTGGTTTGAAACCATATCTGGATTCTAACTCTAGCTTCCTCCTTAAAATGACTTTTAGTGGACTTCCCTGGTGATCCAGTGGTTAAGAATCTGCCTGCCAATGTAGGGGACATGGGTTTGATCCCTGGTCTGGGAATATTCCACATGCCATAGGACAGTAAGCCCATACACCACTACTGAAGTTCCCTCTCTGTAGAGCCCATGCTCCACAAGAGAAGCCACCTCAATGAGAAGCCTGAAACTAGAGAATAGCCCTCCTTTTGCTGCAACTAGAGAAAGCCCTCACAGCAACGAAGACCCAGCACAGCTGAAAAATAAGTAAAAATTGTTTTTAAAAAGGTAACTCTTTAAAAAATTATTTTCTACAATCATGACTCATCTATAAAATAATGGAGATTCTAAGTTCACGGTTGGTCTGAAACATGTAGCATGCGTGAAATGCCTTATAGACTGTGGCTGCTATAAACAAACTAATTAAAGGAAGTTACTTTTTAAAAAATTAACCCTTACACCTGGAAAGCAGCTATTGGAATATTCCACAATATGACTTTTATTTCATTATTTCCCCTCCTCAAGAATCTATCAGTAAATTTCTTCTGTTCATCACTTTATCCTAGTAGTTCTCAATGGGGGTAATTACTGCCTCATATATGGCATTTAGAAATTTATGGGACTTCCTGGTGGTACAGTGGATAGGAATCTGCCGCCTTATGCAGGGGACATGGGTTCGATGTTGGGTCCAGGAAGAGTCCACATGCAGATCAACTAACCTCATGCACCACAGCTACTGAGCCCCTACTCCAGAGCCCTGGAACTGCAACTACTGAACCCGGGTTCTACAATCACTGAAGCCCGTGCTCCTAGAGCCCTTGCTCGGCCACAAGAGAAGCCTGAGCGCTGCAACCAAGAGTAGACCCTGCTCACACAACTGGAGAAAGCCCACATAAAGCAACAAAGACCCAGGGCAGCCAAAAAAAAAAAAAAGAGAGAGAGAGAGGTAAACTTCCCTGGTGGTTCAGTGGTTAAGAATCTGCATTGCAATGCAAGAGACACCAGTGCAATCCCTGGTCCCAGAAGATCACACATGCTGCAGAGCAACTAAGCCCTCGAGCCTTCTACTGAGCCACTGCTCTAGAGCCCCCGAGTTGCGATTACAGAACCTATATGCTGCACTACTGAAGCCTGCACGCCTGGAGCCCCTGCCCTACAAGAAGAGAAGCCACTGCAATGAGAAGCCCACACACTGCAACAGAGAGTAGAACCCCCATCCCACCACCGCAACTAGAGAAAGCCCATGCACAGCAATGAAGACCCGCCATAGCCAAAAAATAAAGATAAATATATAAGCTTAAAAAAAAAAGGTCATAATGTCTGCCAAAGAAAAGAAGCACTTTCGGTTGTAACAATAAATGGAAGGGAAGACATTGTACTTAGTAAAGGGTGCTAAGTTGTGCCAGCCCACCCTGTGTGCAATGGACAGTACACATATTTAACAATTGGCTCATCCTGCATAAATTTTCACTGTCCAATGGGATATTCACATAGGTTACATAAAATCTGTTTATAATTATCTGAGCCTAGAAACTTACTCTTTTTAAAGTATAAATGAAAAGTAAGTTCTTACCAAGTTTAATTGCTTACTGAAATTTCCAGGAATGCAAATATTATGCAAATCAAAGGAAAATGTTCTTTAGGATTTCTCCAATAAAATTTCACCATTCACCAATAAAATGTTCACCACAGTACCAACCAGCAACGCACTGTTGCTAATAGTATGTAGTGTCACTGCAATAAACCTGCATTTGTTTCAGCCTATATTCATAGCTTTCATATTTATTTTAATTCTGCATAAAGATGCAAGCCTCTGCTACATCTTTGTAATGTCTTCTAGTGAAGTTTGACTTAGAATTTACACATTGAAATGCATATTATTAAATTTAGCACTTTTATTTACCTTCATATATTAATTTTTTAAAGTATGAGAATAGATATTTTATCTAGGAAGTTCACTTCAGAGGAACAAAAGGGAAGTTAAAAATATTTTAAAAGGGCACAGTAAATCTGATAGATGGAGAACAACTGTTCCATCTTTTCCAAATTTATCAATTACTTTCTCAATTTGACTTCAGATAAACCTAACTTCCTCTACACTCCTTACAATAGCAGTGAAATTTGGATTTTGCAAGCCAAATCGCCACGCCAAAAGTGTAATCAAATGTTAGGTGCTAGAATTACTGCAGTCATAAATAGAGAATGCAGTTGCAGTAAGTTAAGTCAGAAATACAAGAGAGCAGAGACAAAGTTTGACAAGCCAAGTGATGAAGAATAACATTACAAACTAACACATAACATAGTGATTAAGGAAAAAGTATTACCAACTTCTCATATATTCTCCCACAGAATGGAAAAGAATTCTTTTCAATTCATTCTTTGTGGTCAGAATTACCCTCATACCAAGATGGATAAAGATATTGCAAAAAGGAAAAAAACCCACTACAGATCAACATCTCTATAAATTTTGTTGCAAAAATCCTCAACAAAATACTAAATAGAATTAGCACCATATTAATAGAATTATAAATCCCACAATCACGTGGGATTTATTCCAGGTATACAAAAATTGTTCAACATGTGAAAATCAATGAATGAAATACACCAAATTAACAAAATGAAGGGAAAATCATATGATCATCTCAACTGATACAGAAAAAGCATGAGACAAAAGTCAACACCCTTTCATGATGAAAGCTCTTAGCAAAGCAGGTGTAAAGGGAAAATATAATATAATAAATGTCAATATAATAAATGTCATATATGACAAGCCCACAGCTAACATCATACTGAAAGGTGAAAATCTGAAAGTTATTCCTTTAAGATTAGGAACAAGTAAGGGGTTCCAACTCTCATCTGTTCTATTCAACATATTACTGGAAGTCCTAGCCAGAGTAATTCGGGAGAAAAATAAATTTGAAAAAATCAAAATTGGAAAAGAAAAGAAAATATTTGTTTGTAGATGATATGATCTTATATGTTGAAAACTCTAAAGCTCACACACACACACACACACACACACACACACACACACACCCCATACCTGTTAGGAGAAATAAATAAATTCAGCAAAGTTGCAGGATACAAAATCTCACACACACACACACACACAAATCACACACACAAAAAAAACATGTTTAATTTTCTGGGACTTCCCTGATGGTACAGTAGTTGAGAATCCACCTTGCAATGCAAGGACATGCATTTGATCACTGGTCAGGGAGCTAAGATCCCACATGACACTGAGCAACCTAGCCTATGGCCCGCAGTAACTGAGCCTGCACGCTCTGCAGCCCACATGCCACAACTAGAAAGTCCATGCACTACAACAAAAGATTCCACATGGCACAACGAAGATCCTGCAAAACTAAGACTTGATGCAGCCTAATAAATAAATAGATATGTTTAATTTTTTTTCCATTTATTAGTTGGAGGCTAATTACTTTACATCATTGCAGTGGTTTTTGTCATACATTGAAATGAATTAGCAATGGATTTACATGTATTCCCCATCCCGGTCCCCCCTCCCACCTCCCTCTCCACCCGATCCCTCTGGGTCTTCCCAGTGCACCAGGCCCGAGCACTTGTCTCATGCACCCAACCTGGGCTGGTGATCTGTTTCACCCTAGATAATATACATGTTTCGATGCTGTTCTCTTGAAACATCCCACCCTCGCCTTCTCCCAGAGTCCACAAGTCTGTTCTATACATCTGAGTCTCTTTTTCTGTTTTGCATATAGGGTTATCGTTACCATCTTTCTAAATTCCATATATATGTGTTAGTATACTGTAATGGTCTTTATCTTTCTGGCTTACTTCGCTCTGTATAATGGGCTCCAGTTTCATCCATCTCATTAGAACTGATTCAAATGAATTCTTTTTAATGGCTGAGTAATATTCCATGGTGTATATGTACCACAGCTTCCTCATCCATTCGTCTGCTGATGGGCATCTGGGTTGCTTCCATGTCCTGGCTATTATAAACAGTGCTGCGATGAACATTGGGGTGCACGTGTCTCTTTCAGATCTGGTTTCCTTGGTGTGTATGCCCAGAAGTGGGATTGCTGGGTCATATGGCAGTTCTATTTCCAGCTTTTTAAGAAATCTCCACACTGTTTTCCATAGTGGCTGTACTAATTTGCATTCCCACCAACAGTGTAAGAGGGTTCCCTTTTCTCCACACCCTCTCCAGCATTTATTGCTTGTAGACTTTTGGATAGCAGCCATCCTGACTGGCGTATAATGGTACCTCATTGTGGTTTTGATTTGCATTTCTCTGATAATGAGTGATGTTGAGCATCTTTTCATGTGTTTGTTAGCCATCTGTATGTCTTCCTTGGAGAAATTGTTTAATTTTTTATATACTAATAATGAACTATCAGAAAGAGAAATTAAGAAAATGATCCTATTTACAATTGCATCCAAAAAAATACCTGGCAATAAATTAAATTGAGGTGAAAGACCTATATATTGGAAATGACGTAAATGAAAGAAGTGAAGAATTAATATTGTTAATTCTCCTAAGAATTAAAATGTTCATACCACCCAAAGCAGTCTACACATTGAAAGCAATCATTTTCAAAATTCCAATAACATTTTTTATAGAAATAGAAGAAAAAGCCATAAAATTTGTATGGAATCGTAAGACTCTGAATAGTTAAAGCAATACTGGGAAAGATGAACAAAGCTGGAGCTCCTTGATTTCAAACAATAGTACAAAGTTATAGAAATTAAAACA